AGCAGATGTGCTTTACTAAATCGAATGCGTTTTTTGTTTAAAATGTGTGTTATCAAGTGACAATGTCAACAGCCGTATCCTCAGCTGAACACGGTGTCTGTGTGGCTGTGTCCTTCAGGTATGTGGAGTCCTTCTTCGTGTCTCTGACCTCCATCGCGCAAGATCTCCAAGACAACCTGGTGTCCATCAACCTGAGCCAGGCACAGACCATTAAGCTCCACAATGCCACAGCCTTCAGGTACAGCACATCCCTATTAAATGACTGGAAAAGCAGTTAGGCTAACTGTGCTAACTGTCAGTAAGTAGGGGATCATTATTATAAACATTATCACTAATATAAATCATCTGAAGCCCCTCCGTTAGGACTGGACCTGCACTACTGTATTCTAGTTCTGCTAGGCCCAGAAATGGGGGTGGAGGGTCTCCATATATTAAATGTTAGAGTTTATCTCCAGTTTGTAATAAAGGGTTCTGATTGTTAGGAGGATAACCCTAACCCTAACCCTAACCCTGTTAAAACAAACACAAATGTTTCCATACCTTTTTATTCTGATCAAATATGATGATTTTCCAATTGAATTTTGGAATATTGCAGGAAAATAAGGTCTTTGACAAATCCCACGTTTTGTTTAGCAGGAGTAAGATTGTAATGACCTCAGACATTTTTTTTAATCTAACCAAAACTCTTTCAAAAAAAATATTTAAAAAAAACACCTAGTAAACTAGGAAGTTTACTAGGCTGACTTCCGGGTTCAGGACTCATTCCTGCAGCTCTCAGAGAGTCCTGTGCAGACCATTCTGAGTGTCTCCTTACACATACAGTACCATTATAGTCTGTACCAATTTGTTCCACATGTTCTGTCCATGTACTAGTTAGCATGCTCAGAAGAAGTGGCCTAAATATCATACTGACCTCAGAAATGTGCAACAATCTGATCCAACAAAATGGTTTCTTAAAAAAGCTTTTGTAAAACCAAAGACACTGTCGATAAATCTGAACTTTGTTTAATTTTTCCAAATAACATTCTGATTGCGGCGTCTACTTTGTCTCATTGTGGTGCAACACACCTCATCACCACTGCTACCATTGGTGAGATCTGCAGTTGAAGTGGCCATAAAGGAAAAAACGATGCTTTAGCTGAAGTATTTTTCAACAGTTTACGTATTTCTGTTTAAAAGAGAAAAGTATGTGAAGATGACCCCCCATCCTGCTTTGTTAAAGAGCAGCAATCTTGATAAATAAAGTACAATATTTCCCTCTAAAACGTAGTAAAGGTTTGAACCTTCCGAAGTGCAGTACATGAGCTCATTCACAACAATATCTGTCAAATATCTTCATTGACTTTGATGAGTGTGCTTCAGTATCTGTTGGAAGCAGTCTAAGTATTCTTCTGTGTCCTCATCCGTAAGTCAAAGGACATTATAACCTTCACTTGTAGTTCTTCTCCATGCTTGCTGAGTTCTCTGTGACCTTTGACCTCCCCAGTAAGACTCAGTGCAGCTCAGGGAAGGTGACCACCCTGAAGTGTCTGGGTGAGGAAACACACTGAGTGATCTTTCTTTGTTTTCCATTGAGGATTTCTGGTGGAGGAGCTTGTGCTCCTGCATGTTCTTATGTTCTTGCATGGCATGCAGTGTGTGTTTGTTCTGTCTGTGTCATTGTTGGAGTGCATGTTACTTGTTCCTGCTAAGATAAATAATAAGCTAACTAATAAGCTAAATAAATAAATAAACACCTTACTCTGTGTGAAGCTGACAATTGAGCGGCCCAGACCATGCAAGGAGGCAGAGGCAGCACGTCCCAAATATAACCCGGTGTGGGCATTTATTGCAGCATGAACACAATACACACAGCCTCAATCCTGCTGCTGCTGTTCACGTGGGCACAGCCTGCAGCCACCAGGATCTCACACACACTACCTACATTTCGCCACCAACAAAGCTACACAATCCGTAACGGAGGCCGAGATCTATGGCCCCAGAGATCACCTCCGTTACACTCTGTATTTAAAAATGACCCACAGCTGTGTTCCATAACATGTGAAACCTTAAGGGTTTGATGTACTTACGTCATACAGTCTATGAGCTACATCAAATATGTGGGACCAGTGTGTGTGCATGAGTGTGTGTTTACTGAATACATGTATATGACTGCATGTAACTAGTATAGACTTGTGATTCTGATGCTTTCAGCTCAGAGTGGATGCTTTTGATCTGTGTTTATGATCTTTAAAGGGGCACACCCCCAATAAAACATTAGAAAGGGCATGCACATAATATTTAAAATACAGTAGTTATCAGAGCCTCTCAGTCTGAACTGAGGTTATCAGAGCCTCTCAGTCTGAGCTGTAGTTATCAGAGCCTCTCAGTCTGAGCTGTAGTTAGTGGATTCCACCGGGTCCATCTGCGCTGCGTTCGGCCTGTGCCGCGCCGTGCGCAGCAATTGCAGCCACTCTAGTCAATGCGTGTGTGTTAGGTAGGGTTGCAAATGGGCGGAAAGTTTCCGGTGCATTTCCGGAAAGTTTTTTTTTAAGCTGGGGAATTTTGGAAATATTCGATGCAAAATTAAACAAAAAAACATGACATTTCAACAGATTTTTATTTTTTTAAGTAGAATAGAACAAGTTTTAATTATTTTATTGAACAATTATTTGTTTCATTGAAGAACGAAAACAGGAATGTTGAGTTAAATGATACTCATCCCCACTCATTAAAAAATGCACCCCCCCCATCCAAAAATCCCCACAAAGTCCCATTCAAAATATTAAATGAAAAGAGCCCTTCTCCCTCCACAAAGTCCATTAAACATGCAAATCTTCCTTCAAGCGATCCTCTGCATTTTTGCTAAACCCTTTCAGTCAACGGGCTCTTCCTGGGCCTCATCAACATCACACCCTTCCTCTTCCTCTTCAGTGTCACTGTCCAGCCTTGTTGAGGATGGCTCTGTGTCAGGCTCAAAGAGCCTTAGGTTTGCCCGAATGCCAACCAGTTTTTCCACTTTCACATTTGTGAGCCTGTTGCGAACCTTTGTGTGGTCTCAATAGCCATGCAGTAAGCAGTGTGCTATGGCATAGATATTCAAGTGTACTTGAATGGCATCTGTTTGTTTTAGTCAAGATTATGCTAAAATATACTTCCCCCAACTATATTTAAGTTCCCTATGAAGAGCCAACCTTCAATTTAGAAAATTCCCAGTTTATTCCCATACATTCCCGTTAATTCCCATGGAAAGTTTCCATCTTTGAAAATTCCCGGAATTTTTTAACCCTAGTGTTAGGGATGTGCATCTTCATCACTGAGGCCGATGCGATGCGCATCTCGATACGTTGCCAACGATACGATACATTAACGATACATTTGAAACACCAGGCGATACGATTCACCCCTGTTGTGATACAGTTCGATACGATTTGATTTAACATTATGCGATTCGGGGCGATACGATGCGATTCAACACGATGCAAAATAATGATACTTCAATATGGTATGACGGAGGATTTGGTTTTATTCCTTATATGCAGCAAATCATAAATTAACAAAAAAGTGCTTTACATATTTGGTTCTCTCTACTAGTACTACCTTAAAAAACTCTCCAGAGTACAGTACAATTGTATAACACCTCACAGTTAAACAATTTAAAGGTGGGGTAGGTAATTTTGGAGAAACCAGCTCGAGTGCGCTAGAATTTGAAAATACACAGCCGGAAGAAATCTGCCACTTCCTTACAGAGCCCCTCCTCCAACACACACGAACGCGCACATGACCAATGAGGGCACGAGATAAGTTTGTGCACAGATGGAAGGCTGACAGGCAGGTAGGCCATCCAGTTACTTTAGCCGGGCCGGCTCAGCTGATTGGTCGTGCTTTTTACAGTACTACGGCTTCCACAGATGACGTTTTTTTATGGATTTATTGTCAAAGCACTTCAGATATTCATTGCTAGGGGGATGTTAAGAGCATTCCATGGAATATAACAAAAAGTGTATCTAGAGCCGGTTTCTCAAACTTACCTACCCTACCTTTAAGGATGCATTGCTCATGATTAACAATGTGCAAATAACAACTACCATAGAGCAATGCCCATACAGCTGCCAGCCTGATGTGCTTAACACTCATTCATAGGCTAACTCACCAGTGAGCAGAAAGCAGTGGTTTCTATATGAACAATAAAGAATACAAATAACCTTTCACAGACAGGTATTTCATAACTGTTTACATGAAGACATTTAAACTATTATTGGCAGAATGGCAGTCACAGTCTGCTGTAAACTAAACACCACCCTCTGACAGAACACCTCACAGAGTGATTTAACTCATATGTCTCAAGGCCGCTACACACCAACCTGAGACCAAAAAACGCGTACCGAAGGCGTCCCGACTTTTACGTCTGCTACGTCGCCTGCGTCGGCTATGCCGCCCGCCTACGCCGCCCGCCTACGAACACACCGCAAAGACTTCAGTCGACGAGTGGCAATAACTGTCCTTACCAGCAGGCAGTGGTAGTGTGTATTCGTCATTCAAAAGAGGCAACAGCCAATCAGAGTGATTTCTTTGGCCGACTTTCTTTGGCCGATTCAACATGTTGAATCCGCCGCGGGAGGTGTGAAAATGTGCCGTAAGCAACGACGATGCGGGACACACCAACCTGAGTAGGGCGCCGCGAATGCCCGACTGCCTCTGACGGCCTCTGACTCCCAAAATCGGGTAGGTGTGCCTTTACCCCTAGATTCCACCGGGTCCGTCTGCGTCGCGTTACGGCTGCGCCGCGGCACAGCCACCTCGTCCGCAAGGATCGCCGAGGCCACTCTAGTCAATGGGTGCTATTCCACCAGACACGCCGCGTTACGGCTCAGAAGCGGCCCAGAAGCGTCTCGCCGCTGGGCTCCGCTCGAAATAGGATTGAAGTCTATTTTTCGACGCAAGGCGTTGCAGAGGCGGCGGGCAGGAAGTGGACCGGTAACAGCATCCGGCCCATCCCCCAAATAAACTAATTTGCAGACCCTGTCCCTCCGTAGTCTTTCAAGTAGGAGGAGACCCCATGTCGCCTCTTTATGTGCGTCGCTAAGTTCCTTGTACTACTTGAATGAATCGTTTTTTTACCGATGCAAAGACGCTACAATCGATAAATCGCGAGTTCAACCCAAACTGTAGCCGATGTGAACTCTTTCAACCGGTGCACTCGCATCTTGAACGTTTGCAAATCGGTGAATCTTAAAACATCCCTAGTGTGTGTTCTATATCTTTGATTCATGTTGTTTATAACTGGATTATTACAATTATTATTAACTTTGTCTGTACAAAGTAGCCTTACTTTCTTGTAGAAGTACAGGAAATATGCCCAAATCAACAAAAACTGCGAGCCGGCACGCAAGACGCTCTGCTTCTGAAACGCGCCCGGTGGGGCAGACGCACCTGGTGGAATCCCGGCGTCAGTCTGACAGGAGAGAACTCTCCACCTTATTGTAGAAAAGGCTTCTCATATCCATTAGCGCAGCTAGCTAGCACCAGATGCTAACAAAAACCCACTCACCCACACAAAATGTGCTTGTACCACATAATCATTTGTATTAATAGTATAAGTAAGGACATAGTAAAAGTTAAACATTTCAAAAGAAAATTCAACCCCCCGATTTGCAGCACCTCCCACAGATGGATGTACCTTTAGCATTTGCCTATACTGCCTCTGCCACGAGCTGGCCCTGCTCTTACTGTCTGTATCTGGGATACCCATTTTATTCTAGACTTACCATGGGAGCTGAGGTTAAACTTTCCAAAATTTTAAAAAATCACAACCTTGACACACCTTGCCAAATGCATAAACTCAACCAAAATGACCAACAACTAAAAAAGCCAAAGATGCCCCTCTAGTGAGGCACAAGTGTTGATAAATGGTCTTAGTGCACATGGTATAAATCCAGTGTGTGTGAATAACAAGTGATGCCTTAGAGGTGCACAAGCTGACCTTTGACCCTCCACATATTCACCCAGAGTGCGGATCCAGGCCCCAGTACAACACCCGTATCGTGGGGGGGAACATCTCCAGGCCGGGGCAGTTCCCCTGGCAGGTCAGCCTCCACTTCGTCAGTGAACACCTGTGTGGAGGCTCCATCATCACATCCCGTTGGGTGCTGACTGCGGCACACTGTGTGTACGGGTGAGTCACACGCTTACAGACAAGCTGCATATGGAATGGTATTGAGTGAAACCATCAGAGGAGGGTATTTAGTAAGGCAAGTTCCTCTGGTAATACTCTGTGTATACCAGCTGATTAAAACTGGTGAAATCCCCGTATTCTCTGTAGTGGTCACTGAATCTGAAAAAGAGTGTATTGATGGACATGTCATATTTGTTAAAACCCTATTTCCATTTTTCTTTCCAACACCTCACTAAACTAAGATTACTGGCTTTCCACCTGTCAGACCTGACATGAGAGAAACTGAAACAAATGTTGATATGCTCATCTGAGTCAACTTCTGTTATTAATGTGCAATTAGGATTTATCAGGAGTATTGGTAGGGTTGTTGTTGTATGCAGCCTTTAATAATAATAATAATAATAATACATTACATTTATAAAGCGTTTTTCCTGGTGCTCAAAGCGCTTACAAGCAAGTAAAACAAAATAACAACAAAAGTAGAAAGTGCTAAGCTAGGAGGAATAAGGGCAAGGGGTTAGTGGATTAGGAGTTGAAGGCAAGAGTGAAAAGGTGAGTTTTGAGGGATAGTTTGAATGATGTGAGAGTGTAGGCGGATCTGACGTGGCTGGGGAGGGGGTTCCAGAGTGTGGGGGAGGCTGCTGCGAAGGCTCTGTCACCCCAGGTCCGGAGCTTTGTCCTGTTGGGCTGCAGTAGGTTAGCTTCAGCAGACCTGAGGCGACGGGTGGGGTTGTGTCGTTGGATGAGGTCACAGAGGTAGGGGGGGGCAAGGTTGTTGAGGGCTTTGAAAGTGAAAAGTAATATTTTAAAGTCAATGCGGTGTTTGATGGGGAGCCAGTGGAGGTCATGGAGGATAGGGGTGATGTGGTCGGAGCGTCGGGTGGAGGTGAGCAAGCGGGCAGCTGAGTTTTGGACATATTGAAGTTGTTTTAGTGTGAATGCAGGTGATCCAAAAAGTATGCTGTTGCAGTAATCCAGTCGGGATGTTATGAAGGCATGGATCAGAGTTTCAGCAGCGGTCGATGAGAGGGAGGGTCTGATGCGGGCGATGTTCTTTAAATGGAAGAAAGCGTTTTTGTGACCTGGTTGACGTGAGGGAGGAAAGTGAGGGTGGGGTCGAGGATGATGCCAAGGTTACGGATGTGAGTGGAGGGGTTGACAATGGAGCCATCGATGGTAAGAGAAAAATCTTGGGTTGAGCGGGTAAGTGAGTTTGGGCCAATGATTATAAGTTCCGATTTGTCACAGTTAAGTTTTAGAAAATTGTTTTGCATCCAAATTTTAAAGTCAGTGAGGCAGGTGCTGAGCTGGGAGTGTGTGGTTGGAGAAATTGATTTTGTTGAGAGGTAGAGCTGCATGTCATCAGCATAACAGTGGAACTGGAGTTGGTGTTGACGGAGGATTTGTCCAATTGGGAGGATGTAAATGATGAACAGAAGGGGACCAAGTACAGAACCCTGAGGGACGCCATGATTGACGGGGGCTGTGGGGAATTTGGAGTTGTTAATGGAGATGAATTGATGTCTGTCAGAGATAGGATTTAAACCAGGAGAGGGCAGTACCGGTAATGCCAATGGAAGACTGGAGGCAGTTGATGAGGATGGAATGGTTGATCGTGTCAAATGCGGCTGATAGGTCAAGGAGAATGAGAATTGAGAGGGAACCAGAGTCAGCAGAGAGGAGAATGTCGTTGGTCACCTTGAGTAGGGCAGATTCTGTGCTGTGGCGAGTACGGAAACCAGATTGAAAAGGTTCATGAAGGTTATTGCAGTCCAGATGGGATTTTAGTTGGGAGGCAACAGTTCGCTCAAGAATTTTTGATAGGAATGGGAGGTTAGAGATGGGCCGGTAGTTATTGAGGGAATCAGGGTTGAGACCAGGTTTTTTGAGTATGGGAGTGACAGCAGCGAGTTTCAGAACAGGGGGGAGGATTCCAGTGGACAGAGAGGAGTTAATGACTGTGGTGATAAGATGAGTGAGTTGGGGGAGGCAGGCCTTGACAAGGGTGGAGGGCATGGGGTCCAGGATGGAAGTTGAGGTATTCATGCCGGTGACTTGGGCAACTATGTCCAGTGAGGTAATTTGTCTGAAGGCTGTAAAAGGGTGCCTGGAAGGAGGAGGGTAGGCAGGTTCCGGAAAAGGATGGGTGGTGGACGAGACGGAGGAGTTGGCTATGTTGCTGTGTATTATTTCAATTTAGCTTTGGAGGAATGAGAGGAAGGATTCACACTTTGAGGTGGTGAAGGAGTTCATGGTGTTGAGGAGCTTGCTAATAGTTGAAAAAAGGGACTTTGGGTTATTGCTGCCAGATTGTATTACAGAGGAGTAGTGGAAGGAGCGTGCACTGTTGAGGGAATCTTTGTACTGCTGTTGGTGCAGTCTATAAATGTATTTGTGGATAGTGAGACCAGTTCGTTTAGCATGTCTTTCGAGCTGGCGCCCTTTCGTTTTGAGGTAACGGAGATGATCGGTGTACCAGGGGTACAGTGAGTGAGTGAAAGAGACATACTTGGTTTTTATTGGAGCGAGTTGGTTGAGACAGGAGGAGAGAGCATTGTTTAGAGGAAGGCTGTAGACACCACTCATTGTTGAAAAGCACCACTTCCTTTGCATTTTGTCAGGGACAAAAAAGATGATTCTAACTCAATTGTATGAACAGTTAAACTTCCCCTAATAAAATAAGGACTGGATTCCTTTTTGTAAAATAAGATGGTGTTATGTGATATAGCTCAACCAGGCTATCATTAGGCCTAAGAAGAAATGTCTACCTGTCGCTATAGACAGGCAGACATTTCTCCTTAGGCACCATATAGTCTTTCTATAGTGGTGTTCTGCATTACTAAGACATCAACATAGCACAGACTCTAATGCTTAGTTAAAGTTGTGAGAGCAATACAACTTATTTTTCTAAACATGTGACTTGTGATTAGCTGGATTCAGAAGAAGAGCCATGAGAGTGACATAAGATACAACTGTAGCTTGTGGGATTGTATTTCTCAGAGTCCCTCACGTATACTGAGTTAATATTGAACAATTATCAGGTTTGCAGACCCCTCCATGTGGGCGGTCCATGTGGGTCTGACGGAGCAGCCGGTGCATGGCGCGCAGTCTCTGTCTGTGGAGCAGATCATATACCACGCTCGCTACAGGCCTAAAGGACTGGACTACGACATTGCACTGATGAAACTGGCCACGCCACTTGATTTTAACGGTATTTTAACGGCTTTTTCATGACCTCATTCTCTTTCTCAATCCTGCTCATGTGTTCATTACATCATGTATAGCTCCAGATCCTAATCCTGTTCATGTGTTCATTACATCATGTATAGCTCCAGATCTCAATCGTGCTGAGCCTCTCAGAGCCTCTCAGAGCTGGCCTGGCGTAATCTGAATCTTCCAGATCTTCGCAGGGAGAAATGTCCATGATTGAAGTGGCTGGGATCCTTAATGATTTTCCAAGGCTGTAAATATGCCTTAGGCAGGTTAGAGCACCTTACAGTGTTTCCTGATGATACACAACCACTGTTCCCTGTCAGGAGTGGACATTCTTAAGCATTTGAGAGGATAGCTGGAATTTCCTCAAGCGTCTGAGGTGAACCAGTCCCCAGCGAGTCAGTGGATTTGAAGGGGGGCTCTCTTCTTTCTTCCCCAAGGCCACGATCAGCTCCTTAGTCTTGCTGACATTTTGGACTACGTTGCTGTTCTACTTCTTTCAGCTTGGCCTTTTCCTAGCAATCTGTGATCAGGACCACCACAGCCGTGTCATCTGTGTCCTCTTGATGGTTTTGTTGGAGTCGAAAGTGGCTACATGGCTAACAAAAACCGCTAAACTCAGATGTTCTACTTCCAAGTTGAAATGAAATGCACCTTTACCTCCCTTCAGTCTCTCAGTCTTGTGAGGTGACTGCTATCTCCCACCTCCCTCCGGTTTCTAGCCTTCTGACAGTGTCAATAATTGTAGGCCTTTCAGTTGTCTGAGGTCTGAGTGTCGGCTCTCATCTATTTGTCCTCACCTTTTTCACTTCTTCCCCTGACGGAGTTGTTTGTCCGAAACTGATGTTGTGTCATTTCTGTCCAAACAGCTACCACATGAAAACAGGATGTGGGTGTAATTACACATTAGCTGGATGATTGATTGATTGATTGATAGATGTTGGTCCTGTTGGTGAAAGGTGATTGGGATAAGTAGTTCATTATAGATTCTCCTCTGTAGGCTTTGTGGAGCCCATCTGCCTGCCAAACCATGGGGAGGAGTTTGAGGAGGGCACCATGTGCTGGATCTCTGGATGGGGAGCCACTGAGGATGAAGGTGAGTCTGAACAGGACTTTGATTCTATTATTTCATCTGCAGCTTTTTGAATGTTGTAACATTCCGCCAGGTGTAATGTAATAACGCTAGTGTTCCTGCACTCTCCGATACATACATGCTTGAAATAGTTGTTTTCTTCCAGGAGAGACCAGTGTGGTTCTGCGTTCCGCCATGGTGCCGCTGCTCTCCACGAAGACCTGCAACCAGCCGGAGGTTTACCAGGGCTTCATCTCCTCCTGGATGCTGTGTGCAGGATACCTGGAGGGAGGAACCGACTCCTGCCAGGTACACATGGTTCCTTGAAGCATTAAACACCATTGTGATTTCAGAGGAGCAGCCCTGTTCATTTCTACAGAATAACACAGAAACTACAGGACCTGTGAAATCAAATGTCAATATAGGTTTATTTGACTATTAATACTAAAAGTCTAAAATCTCCATAGAAATAAAATCTGTAATTTCAAAAAAAGAACCCAAAAAGTGTGTGTGTGTGTGTGTGTGTGTGTGTGTGTGTGTGTGTGTGTGTGTGTGTGTGTGTGTGTGTGTGTGTGTGTGTGTGTGTGTGTGTGTGTGTGTGTGTGTGTGTGTGTGTGTGTGTGTGTGTGTGTGTGTGTGTGTGTGTGTGTGTGTGTGTGTGTGTGTGTGTGTGTGTGTGTTCAGGGCGACAGTGGAGGTCCTCTGGCCTGTCAGGACTCTGTATGGAAGCTGGTTGGTGCAACCAGCTGGGGGATTGGATGCGCTATGAGGAACAAACCAGGCGTTTACACCAGCATCACACAGTCGCTCAGCTGGATCCGCCAACAGATGGAGGTCAGCACATGGCAAGCTGTGTCCTGTTTCAGGATGTTTGGCCTTTGGAAAGCTAGTAGGCCTACTGAAAAAGATTCACCATATGGTCACCATATTTCTGCAGGACACACACCATAGTTTAACAACATGTCATTATAGTATAAACAGAGTTGTCAAAAATATCATAAATGACTGCTGGACTCACTTTAGCTGCTTGTTTCAGAGCGGCTGGTATAAGAGGACATTAGCTCTGGAGCCTGTGAGGATGTCAGGTTAGCATTAGCTCTGGAGCCTGTGAGGATGTCAGGTTAGCATTAGCTCTGGAGCCTGTGAGGATGTCAGGTTAGCATTAGCTCTGGAGCCTGTGAGGATGTCAGATTAGCATTAGCTCTGGAGCCTGTGAGGATGTCAGGTTAGCATTAGCTCTGGAGCCTGTGAGGATGTCAGGCTAGCATTAGCTCTGGAGCCTGTGAGGATGTCAGGCTAGCATTAGCTCTGGAGCCTGTCAGGTTAGCATTAGCTCTGGAGCCTGTGAGGATGTCAGGCTAGCATTAGCTCTGGAGCCTGTCAGGTTAGCATTAGCTCTGGAGCCTGCTGCATTACGGCTCTGCTGCACTGAATTCTTAGTCTTTGTGCATTTTTTTCAGTTGTGAACAGAGCTTACCTTTATGTTATTGCTGAATCAGCCATGTTTTTTTGCTTGAAATTATTCCTACTTAAAATAGCAAGAACAATGGACATCTTGACTGAACACCACCCTGCAGGACAGTGTTGGGGTGTTAGGAGTGGTGGCGGCGGCCTGGTATGAAGGCACTGGTTAATATGGCTATCAGGTTGTTCTGACAGAGGCCTTTAGGGGAATTTAAGAAGGCCCCTGTTTGTTCAGTTGACCTCTGCACAGCTGTTGGGGACTTTGTTGTGAGATCTCTGACCAACAGCTGGTTCTCCTCCTGGTGGAATCCGAGTACAGCAGCTGTCTTTATGGCATAAAAGCTTTGAAATGCTACACTTGACACCAAGTTCCTTTCACCGTTAAGAATTTGTAATGTGAATCAATTAAACTGGGCTTGTTTCCATGTACAGCATCTCTCAGACCACATGCAAACAAATGTAAATCACTATGAGTGAAAAAGGGTTATAGGACTTGGAAGCAAACGGGTGTTTAAAACTTTCTTTGTATGCTATTTCTTTAGTCCTTCCAATTGATCCACTTAACTCTTGCATCCTCTTGAAAAAATCCCCTCCGGCTCCCACAGAAATCTAACTTTCCAGACTGTCTGACAGTGTTGTTCAATGGTTTTAATTGTCATGGAAATAACCTTATGCATCCGTTTCACCACATTAGTAGGCTATACTGTATTTGTAAGTTTTACAAAAGTTGAAAATTAATGAACCAAGCTTGGCCATAACAATTGTAAAGACTTGTTTTAAAGGACTCAGATGGTGTCAGTTGTCATAACTAGATCATTACTGTGACTTGTTTCAGTGTCCATTGTGTTCAACTGTTACTTTCCACTTGTCTTTCAGAGAGAAGAGGCTTCTAACTCTCCAGCTCTGAGCACAGACAACTGAAGCACCATGTGATTACTCAGTTTGGATGATTCCACATGACAGGACTACAGAGATAAACAATCACAGCAGAATGGCAGAGGGTTTAATCCGCACATACCTGTGTGGAGGCAAAGTGTAAGGAACAGAGACGGGGAACAGCAGAGAGTTAGGCATCGTTTATTCCAAAATAGAAAGCTCTAAGGCAAAACAGACAAGAGAAAAGTGAACAACGCTTCATAAAAAGCAAGTGAGGAACCGAGAGCTCGACGAGAGCCCACCCAGTGTCCCCCCCACCCTCAGCTGCACCAAATAACCATTCCAGGCCTCAACTTTACAAGAGGAAATGAACCAGATACTGCAGCTGTTGACAGACAATTGTTGTACAGTACAATGTTACAGATTTTCAAACAAGAGGCACCCTATTTGTGAAGTAATAACATATTGATAGAGATGTGGAGTCTCTCACTACATTTGATTGTAGTGGCAGGGGGCCACAGCATCCCTCAGGCCGGCGCTCAACTTAACACCTGCTCTGTTTTCAGCACAGCATCTACGTGTACATAAATAAAAGTTTAACACGTGCAAAAAGTCCACTGCTTCTTGTCGATGGAGCTCAGACCTCACTGTGGTTACTTGTGATTGTGTGGTTAGCATAGTGTTCTGGATTGTGCATTTTAGAAAGTTTGCTACTACTGTCAAATGATTAAAAGACATAACGTATGTTATACACAATGAGGGTAAACGTGTATGCACGAAATCTGAGCACTGCAGTCAAGTTACTGTGAAAGATTACTTCACATAACATGGATGTTGCAGTACGCAAAGTAACATTATTAACAATGCTTTACAGAACCACACACATGGACTGCAGTTTAGTGTCCTTTTGACCAATTTCACCAAGGGTCAGACTTTGTTTTTGTGCTTCTTGGCAATCATTCTTTAAAAAAAGAACACAGGTAAGGCCATGTTAGTATTGTAAGTTTAAAACCAATTTAAATAGTCATTTTCATCAGGATTCAATTCCTTTGTTTTTTTTTTAGAAAACTTCAAAGAACCCTGGAAAACAGGGTCGCTAACTTTAATTATGAATCTGTACATAAATATTCCTTACAAAACAGGAGAACACAAAAATGAAACAAAAACACGAATTTCATACGTTTGTATATAAAAATAAGCATCTCTCCTTTTTTTTTTTTAATCTCTCCACTAGGCTCTGCTCGGCCCGCAGGGGCCCGAGTGAGAGCTCTGCTCGGCCCGCAGGGGCCCGAGTGAGAGCTCTGCTCGGCCCGCAGGGGCCCGAGTGAGAGCTCTGCTCGGCCCGCAGGGGCCCGAGTGAGAGCTCTGCTCGGCCCGCAGGGGCCCGAGTGAGAGCTCTGCTCGGCCCGCAGGGGCCCGAGTGAGAGCTCTGCTCGGCCCGCAGGGGCCCGAGTGAGAGCTCTGCTCGGCCCGCAGGGGCCCGAGTGAGAGCTCTGCTCGGCCCGCAGGGGCTCGAGTGAGAGCTCGGTCCGCAGGGGCCCGAGTGAGAGCCGCGGAGTCCGTCGCAAAAATGCGCACATCTACTCAAACACAAGCATGCAAAAAGTGAAGACAAACCCTTACAGATACAACTTGAAAATTGTTGGCATCCAAAATGAGAATTCAACTGGGGACGGGGAGCAGGGGCCGAGAAACAAATCATAGATCACATTTATCAACGGAACATACAAACTTGCTTCAAGTGTTAAACACTAACTTTTTCTTCTGTTTGATTTCATCTTTTTGAGCTTAAATATACAAAAAGTGCACTCGCATACATCAACTAAATAATGAAAAAAGGGTTTCTGAAAGGAAACTCCTGATGTACGTACTCAGCATAAACTGCTGTTCAGCAGGGTGGGGGGGTCGGAGTGCAGGAGCGGGACGTCCTGTACTTTGTGCTGGATGTAAACCTAATGTGTGTCTGTACTAGGATTTTAAGAGAACTATTGACACATGTCTTGTGTGTAGTTCAGAGTGTGAGGTGTGTGTCCTCTACTGCAACGAGTCGCTGTTGTCCAGGCCTAGCCCGGCCATGTCCACGTCATCGTCTTCGTCTCCACTGTCCCCCGACTCGTCCTCGCTGTGGCCCCCCAGCATCACCTGCTGTATTGCCAGAGTGGCCCCGTCTGACGTCAGGCTCTGCAGACTCTCCATGTTCATCGTCACCATTGTCCCTGAAAAGGAGAGGACAGTGACTCAGTGAAAGCTGGTGCAAGAACAAAAAGACTACAAAATAGAAATGTTGAGAGCACAAGCTGAGCAGCTCATGCTCATAAGGGCTGGCATGCTCAACCATCTTTTCATGGTGGATTACTTTCTAGGTTTTTTATCTTTAATATTTGTTTTATTATTTATTTATATTAAGCTATCTTTGGCTCTTTGCTGTAACAATTGTAAATGTCCCATCTGTGGGATGAATACAGGTATTCTGATTCTGACAGTGTCGAGGACATTTCAAGGTAAACAAATGACATTTTCGCTAAATGACTTGTGACCTCAAAATGAACCCCTTCACACAGTACACACACAGTGAAATAAAGGTCCTGTTCACTTATTGAGGTGGTGTTTGAGTGTGGATGTTACACAGGATAAAGACTATTTCATGATTATTTCTTGTGTACCATCAGGCATGGTGACTTGCTGCTGGCCCCCCCCTCCTGTGGCGATGGAGTCGGGCCAGAAGCGCTGCAGCGGCCGGTTCTGAGGCGTCTTTTTCTTGGCTTTTGGTGTCTCAGAGGAGCTGGCATCCAACATGGGCTGCAGGATCCGCCTCCTGGCATTTATGAACCTGGAAACAGGAGAATACTCAGATCTGAGGGGAGGCTGGAGTCTCATCTGTGACCAAAACTAACTTAAACTACATTCAGCTGCTTTTCTCTTAGTAAAGAAACAAATATTTGTTCTATGGTGATCCCACCACAGAAACATGTTATTACAGACTCAGCCACATTTGTATTAATATAAAATTGAAATAAAGAAGAAAAATCGTCTCGGAATTTTGAAAAATAATCACAAGTCGATGCAAAAATAGTAAATCAGTTCCTTTGAAAGAAGAGCCGAGTCTTGTCTCTGGAGCAGACAGAACACTGGGGAGAAAACGTTACCCTAACGTCCTGACATGAAGTTGGGACGGTGCTGTCGGCACACTCACCAGTTGTTGACCTGCAGAAGTGTCAGGTTTGTCTGAATGGCAATCTGTTTCTTCTCATCCTCTGTTGGGTATGGGTGCTACAGAAAAGGACAGGGGAATAGAGGCCTCAGTGTTTTGGTAGGATTGCAGTTACACAGGCAAACATTTGAAGCACACACACACTCACCCCGATGTGCTGGAAGAGCCACGAGCGCATCACATTGGTGGCCAGTTTAGGTAGAACGCCACGTTTGTTCTTAGATGAGTTGTCGTCGTGATTAAAGAGGTTCAGGTCCTGGTGAAACTGCAGCTGGAGCTGAGCACACACACAGGCAGTTAGACTTTTCTGAATTGACATGTTTGAGTTAATAGCCAGCAATCGCCAAGGAACCAATTATTTACAAATACAGCAGCATCACAGTCACAAAGAGAGATGAACAACCTGATTGTTTTGGACGCGTATTGTCCCGGGAGAAAGAGCCTGCGTTACCACCTGACCCTGAGGAGTGACGACTGTAACAGGCTGGTACACCGTCCCACCTGGAGTCAACAAAAACACACATACCTTAATATAATGTGCTTTGCTGTGTGCTGGCTGCTGATCAGTGTCCTTGCAGAATGCTGCTGTGAGAACAGTACAGTACCTGAGGGCGGAGTTGTTGTATGCCATGGTGACATACCTGCGACCACCTGGGTGGGGTTGACGGCTGTCACGGTAACGTTCCCTTGCTGCAGGGCTGATGCTGGCACCACGATCTGACCCTGAGGACTGATGGTCCCTGAGATAGAGCTGGGGGTCTGCACAACACATAAAGGGCAAAGTCACTGTTTGTTCCACATGCTGGCTCACACTTCAGAGCACTTTGACATGACACTAGCTGACACAGTGTAGCAGGTTAAAGGATGAAATTAAAATGTAAAGAAATAAAAAAGAATTGTCAGTGTCATGCATGAGATGTTAACTTCTAAAGGCACTCAAAGAGCCACCTGCTGGTGATGCATGATTCTCGCACTCTAAATGTGTGGTGATGTGTAGAGTCCACTTACAGTCCATACCGGAGTCTTGATAGGGGAGAAACCCTGGACCTGGCCCTGCACGGGGGAGTAGGGGCTCCCCGGGTCTCCACTCAGCAGGGTCTCGCTGTTCATCTTAGTCTTGAGGCAGGCAATGTAGCGGCTGCAGAAGTCCTTACACAGGTCACTCACCTTCTCCAGCTCCAGCAGGTGGATGCGCAGCACCTGGATGGCTTTCACCATCTACAGGTCAGAAGCAGAAAAAACAGCTTGAGACAGTCTACGGATCAGAGTCCCCGTCGGGTATCCTCTTACGTGGCTGATGTTGGGGATTTAGACACTTACAGTAAGGTACTGTCATACACATTTAATACCTGTAGTATTTAGCTATGATGAAAACCAGTAGGCGCAATTATGCCAAGAATGATGTGTAATTATACAAAGAACAAAACACAGTGAAAGTTTAGTCCAATCTGCACTGCCGACAGCTGACAGTGTGGACAGTGCAGGTCTGCCTCACATGGTAATACTGCGCACACAACCCACTGTCAAACAACCCCACTTTTAGCTTCTAGGTGTGTAACGGGGACTGTTTATCATATGTGAAGCCATCAGGTTTCCACAGCCAGAGAACTCAAAGTGTGTGCCCTGGTCATACTTCTGGTAGTCAGTACCAGAGCAGAAACAGATCCGAGTGTGTTGCCCTCCTTTTCCTTAATCTTTCCAATTCCATTACACTTTGTTTCCTAAGTTCTCTATGCTCTATTTGAGGAAATTGAATTGATTGCTCCATGTGCCGTGTTACAGTGTTATTCAGTTTTTACTCATATTTAACTGCAGCAAGTGGACAAAGCTGCACCTCACCATGCTGATGAGGTTGAAGGTGACTAGCGAGTGTGTAAATGAGTTGGGGTTCCATTTCGTATTGCTTTTTGACATACCTCACATCCCTGTTTTGGCCTCAGAACTAAAATTGGTTTTCGGTCATCTGCATATGTAATAATTCCAAACAAATGATCTGCACTTGATATGAATGGGAGCCGATGGTCAAGTGGGATCTGAAATCACACTGAGATTACCCCCAGTCACATCGGGGCTGCAGTCGGATAATCCAAAAATCAGCTCCTAAGTTCTAACCCTATCTCCTATTCCTTGACCTCTGAGTGAAACGTCACGGGGTTAAGGGATAGTGGATAGGAGAATTCAAAAGGATTTAGGAGAAGAGACTGCGGTACTTTAGAGAATCGACTGCACTTTCACTCTCCGACGTGTTTCTGATGCGCCAGCGGACGTCATGAATGTGCGTCTGCTGCTGTGGGGAAACTATGGAAACTACAGTTTTCTATACAGCGGACTACAACATGGATGTTTAATAAGAACGAGGGACTACTGTAAACTCATCTAGAGACTCTGCACCGTGCTCTGATGCTGTTGCTTTATGCTTTATGAACGGGGACAACAGAGAAACATATTCTTCATGACCAAAGTTGGAATTGAAATAAAAAAGGAAAGTGAAACTTATGCTCGTCACCCTCTCCCTCCGGTCCACATTAATACAAATGATCCCAATACGTATGATTGTATGAAAAGATCTTAAAATCAATACAGATGTATTTATTATAAACGTTAGTCCTTAACATCTATCACTGTGTGTATCACCATTCAAACATCTTTTAAAAGTTGAACAAACTCCACACAGCTCAGTAAAGACTGTGAAATGTTGACTTTATTTGATCATTTCAGTAAAAACTAACGTTCATATTTCTCTTTTTGATTATAATACTGATGAACGTTCAAAACAAAGCACTTTGGCAACTTACCACATACGTTTTAAAATGCTTAATAAGCACCGTAACTTTCATGATATTATTTCTCCGTCATAATCGGTTGTTTCCGTGAACGGCCGAATGTTGTGTGACGGCAAATGCTGCGGCTGCAAGGCATTGTGGGGCAGCATTTTCTCCTCTCCTTTCGTCAAGGGAGGTCCAGTGGTTCCTAAGCTAAAGGAGGTTATAAAGGAAGTTTGAAACCTCCTTTCCTTTCATGTAGAGAATTCGAACGGCACTTATCATGGCTGCCACTGAGGTACTTCCGGGTCATTTCACTCCGTTAGGAAGGTTCCTAAGCTAAATGGACTATTGGAATGCAGCCCAGGTCTATCAACAACATTTACTCAACTGTCTTATAGTCAGGGGTGCACATAACTTTTTTGCCCTGGTTCTCAAAGGAGCACCTGGAGATGTTGCTTGGTGCTCATCCTTAAAATGAAATGCGCACCAGTTATGTGCAGCCCTGCTTATAAGCCCCTCCCGACCACATTCAGTTCGTTTTTGGTCAGTTCGTTTTTGGTCAGCCAAAACGTCGCTCTTTTTTTTTTATAGAGATTGTAACATCTCCAGCAGTAAACACTTGTTTAAGGAGGTATACAATTTGAGTTACATTTTGGTATGTGGTCTACTGTCAAAATCCCACCAAGATGATATAAAACAAACAAAAGAAAACCAGCAGCCAAAAATCTGAGATGGAGAGGGTTCTCACCAAGTTGTCGAGTTCAGGGTCCTCGCTGAAGAAGGGCTTGCCCTCTTTCTCTTGATTGCGGACAAAGTTCTCAATGTCCACGTCGAAGCTGGCCGAGGTGATGCAATCAGAGCTGAGCGTGGACTGTTCACACTTCTCAAACAGCAGGGCCAAGAGAGGGAACAGGGGGTGCCTGTGAGGTGTGGAAAAACAAACGGCATTTAGTGTACATGAAAACAAATACTGACAGATACCACATCATTTTAAAATGAATGAACACTCTTAACATTATTAAATACCAGAGGGTAAATTATGGCGCGTTTCCACTGCAGCGGGTAGCTCGCTTTAAGCGTGCCGAGCCGTGCCCGTTTTTGGTTGCTTTCACAAGTCTGCAGAAACCCTTTTAAAATGCGTGTTTTCTAAATGGAGCTTGGCTAAGCTAACGTTATATATGCTCCGACCGTCCACACTCACAACAACGGCCTACAGACATAAATAAAGCAGCGACTGTATTCGCCATGACACAGACAGTCTGTGGTTTGTACTTGTTTAACTTCTGTCTAGTTTCTGAACAGATATGAGGAGCTGTGAGCTCTGAGTGCTAAGAGCTAACGGCTGTGTTGTTTTCTGGGGCGCTCATTGAAGATGACGTCACGGCTCCGCCTACACTGCGTTACTATAGTAACTACCCCAGTTCCTAAACTGTAATGGAAGCGCAGCATTAAAGTGAGCCGGGCCTAATAAGGCCTAACCAAACCGAGCGAGGCCTGCAGTGGAAACGCGCCATAAGAGTCACATGAACAAATGAGAGGACTTGTCATGTGATATTTCCTACTGGCTAATGTGAAGGAATGTACACTGATTTAGGAATACGGGGTGTTGTACACACACACCGATATATGGAGGCTTTGTCCACGTCCATGGGTGTCTGTGGCTCTGTGGGGGCTGGGCTGGGCACCTCTGCCAACGTCCCCTCAAGATACTTCTGCTCGGAATCTCCGTCTACCTTTACTACACCTTGCATCTGTTGAAGAAAGGAATCAAAGAAGTGAGAAAAGAAAGCTAGAGTAACAGAAACAGAGGGAAGAGAGGCGGAGAATGAGAGACATAAAGACATCATGTGAAGACCAAGAGTAGCTGGAGGCAAAGCTTAACACGGAGCCTTGTTTTAATACGAAGCCTTTAGAAAGTCATGAGGGCATGGTCGGAAATCCACAAAAGCTATGCATTTTTCACACAACACTAAATGCTTTTGAAAGAACGATGAAAAGTAATGCTGCAGAAAGAGGTGTTGATACGAGTTATAAGTCCTGCATCAGCACTCTTTGATGCAAGTTAGGGAACTGAGTTTATTCCTGTTTCCCTGTAATACTTGTGACCTGAGAATGACTGTCATACATCTCCGGTGGACAGACAAAATCACATGTCTTCATTCATTCATGCCCTCGGGTATTTTGTCATCGCTCTGTGAGCAAACTATAGCTAGACTACTTGCAGAGTGTTGCCTTCAAATTACAATGCAAGCCTACACTTATCTAGAACCTGTGTGTACACAGACTTTTACAAATCACCTAATGTAAATTAATATGTGTCTGTAGCCTCCAAACCCTCCGCTTACTCATCGAGTGGGAGCCAGGTTTCTTATTTTCACACATATCAACACCGTGCCTGCCTACCCGCAACCCAGGGTCTTTTCCAGGACCATAACTCCCATCCCATACCATGTGACTGAATGAACAATGTATGAGATTGAGCACAAAGTAGCTACAAATAATCACTTGCTTGGGGTGGAACATTTCTCATTAGTCATAGATCATTTTCAGCTCTCAACACCCCCAAATTTGGCACTTATTGTAAGCTCATAAACAGAAAGACTAGTCAGAAAAATAGGGCTTTATTCATCATCAGTATATCTCATAAAGTGATTTTTTTTGCAGACAGACAAGCAGACTATTAAAACTGATGTAACAGCATTAACATCGCCTGTGCTCTAGTGTTACATGCAAGTGTTTTTCTTTGTTTAACAATCCAGTGCAACTTATCACAACTACAAATAACTGGGGATCCATGGGCAAAGAGCGACAATGCTGACAGCTGAAGTCAGAAACATTTAGGTGTTATTTCAGAAACGGTCTTTTAATGTTGCGGTTGACTATCTTTTTTTCAAACTTGCAAAAAAAAGGGCAGTTCAGGCACTTGTAGAAGGTTGTGTCGGCTTCAGGGTCCAAACCAAATGCCTCCCTGTCACCCACCTGCTGCTCTCCCTTTGGGTACTTGTCTATGGAAACCGACTGGGCTGCCATCACTTCACTGCAGATGCTGCAAACACCTGGGCATTATAGAGAGGGACAGGTGGCCAACCTACACAATACACATAGTTTCAGTTAGACTACCTGTTAAACATTCCTGGAGTGTAGGCAAAACTTTTAACAATGCACCGTGAAAAAGTCAGAGTTTAAGTTATCATTAGCTTTGTAAATACACTTATGTGATCAAGGGGAAATGAAGCACTGTTTCCATGCTACAAAACAATGTATGCTGAATCAATAACAGACAACTTTGGATGAGCATAAAACAGACACTATGATCAAATATTTACTCCTGAATATGACCCAAAAATGTGAAGCATTTGAAGGACATGTAGAGAAGTCATACCATAAACTATGTGGTTTTGATGTTTGCACACGCGTTGGGCCATAACAAGAGAATATGGGGGCACACAGAAAATACGCTATGGAGGGGAGGTTAAATATGAGTGGATAACGTTTACTGATTTATTTCAATATATCGCTTCAACATTAATAAGCATTTCTGTTTACACCAATATCAGAAAACAGCGAGGGTTGAGCTATATACCCTAGGTGCACTGTTATGATAATAGTTAGCAGTTATAAGGCCACCCTGCAACTGCTGTTAAACACACACCACGACGGGCTTAGCTGTTAGCCCTGTGTTAGCTCCCCACCCTTTGTGGCGGCAAGGAGAGATACAAGTGTAATAAAGCCCTTGGGTTAACACCTTAACCCCAATGTACTATAACGTTCGTGTTATTCGCAGACTAAGCAGCTCGGCGGGAATAAGCCTCGTTTTTCCACAGTATTTGTTGGCTAGCATGTACCGTTAACGCCACATTGGCGTTAGCTCACGAGCACAATAAAGGTTAACCTAAAAGTGGACCGTCTGTCCGAGACACAGCTAACGTTAGTCAGGTACTGTTCACTTATTCGTGTTTCGTATACTGTACGGTGAGGCCAAATGTGACGCGCCATATTTAGCAAGGGGGATCACTGCCAAGAAAATAAGCTAACCTAGCTAGGCAGGTACAAAAAAAGACCCCGCTGCGGATGGATACGAAGGATGTTGTCTCAAAGAGCGTTAGCATTGCTCATTTAACATTTCAAATGAAAATGCATTTCTTGAAAGCAATACACACTAATTCGACTGCAATGATATTAAGAAGCATTTGCTGCACAACAGGCTGGTCTCGTTGATCGTCAAACCCTTCCCACACAAGTCAATCAATCAAGCGGGGACAGCTGCCCTCTCCTTCCCCTCCCCTCCGCGCTAACGTTACGATTGTCGGGCCTCGTTTCTAGCTCTCGCCCTTTGCTTTTCCACAATCCTCCTCTGCCCTCAAAACGCCGACATATTTTTTTACCCCCCCTCCCTTGTATACAGATTGTATTATTCTTTTCGGAGCTCTAGCGCTTCTGCCTTCCTTCCAAAAACACCCTCCGCTGCCCTGACTAGGTCCGCACTGCTCGCCCCGGGGCATTTTTGCGTGCGGCCCAGATCTTTTGATTGATAGGGAACGGAAAAAGAGGGATTTTGAGTGACAGCTTACCTGAGTGCCAATCTTCGTCACACTGACAAGCGGCTGCAGCAATCGGGACCCGCAGTTGTCGCGTTGCGTCATCGCGTAAGGGCACGCAGGGGCGCTCGGCTCATGAATATGTATAAGGTGGGCGGAGACATGACGTCCTGCTGCCTTTCCCTCTGTGCCCTCCTGGGTATTTTGCTTGCTAACGCAATGCACTGCCCCCGTTTACAGAACACATTTTCTGTGTATTTCCAGCTATATATTTCTTAATGCATCATTTCTAATTATATTCACAACAAAAGCTGATTGTTTACTCCTAAAAGTTATAATCGATATAGCTGGGACAGTATTTGCAAGCAGGCAGGCTAAGGGAGTGAAAATGTGTAATAATTACAATAGAAAGAGATAAACCACTTGCACACTCAGCTCTATTCAAATGACCCCCTTAGGCAGGAAAGCTGCATAAAAGCGTTTGATCTTTGTCTATCCCTTCATAGGCCTATTCCTTTATTAAAAACAAAACAGAATCAGACCAGGCAACATATCTTTTTAATGTATGTATTTTATTGATATAACATTTTAACAGCATATTATCATTATTATGCATAACTGACAGGTAATCACAATAAAAAGGTCTTCACCATCACCATGATCTTTAAACAATATAAAGGTTTGCAGCGAAGCCAACTCGTCTAGTGTCTGATGGAGGAGGGCTGCGGGAGGCGGAATTTAGCCATCTCTACATCCAGGTCTGCAAACGTGAAGGGGGTGTAGTTGTGGTGCTGGATGTTTTTATAAGTGCTGTTGTCAAAAGGCTCATTGGGCTCTGGAGGTGCTGCAGCCTCTGCAAAAGGAGGGGGAGAAAAGGCATGTAAGAAAACTGAGTGTGAAAATAGAGAGCTGGCAAATATTCCTGCTGTTTATGCATTCAAATGAAAAGTTATTCATATTCATACTACTAGGTATTCTCCTTTGTCCTCGTCCTAGTTGTTATTAGGATTTGATTTAGCTTTTCTGATAAACTACTGAGTGGGAAACATTTGAGAAGATTTTTTTTAAAAGACATATTCACACAGGAGACAAAGGTGGTTTATTGTGGGGATTCCCTATGGTGGTAGGCTGCATTACACCCGCCAGTGTGGAGACACACTGGTGTGAAAAGCCTCAAGGATCATGTCTGAGGGGAAAGTATGTGAAGGTAAAGTGCTAGCAGACAGTGAAGCCAGCTCAAAGTAGAGAAATAATGATACTGGCATACAAATGGATTGGGAAACAACAGTATGTCCAAATCATGGTGTATTGGAGAAAAGGTTTTGGTGTTTTGGATTAAACAAAGGGGCATAATGTTCTTCAAACTACTTTCACATCTAAATCTGTTTGGAAAATCAGACTGACGGTAAAGTTATAAACAACATGTGAGACAGATATTACACATCCACAGTCAGAGAAACACAGTTAAGACACATTTACATGTTTTCATTAATCAACACCGTGAACATCCCAAAGGCAATCAGGTAAAGAACTATTTCATGTAGTCTAAAAAAAAGAAAGACTTAAAAAGTAGTGAGATTAATGACAAGGTGAGGTGGGTGTTCCAGGAAGGAGAGTTTCACCATTGGTCAGAAAAGTGTACTTACGGGCTGTAGTTACAGGAATGTGTAGGAATTCAATCTGTCAGATGCATTAGAAAACATGGGTTGGTGGCTGCTTATCAGTTCCACATACAGTACTCTTATGACTGATCTAATAGTTGTTGTTAATGTGTAATCCTGCTTCCTGAAACACTTCCTCTGATACCATCAAATCCCAGCTTGTACTGGTCCGGCTGCTGTAAGGGACACGTCTTCACTGTAACACAATACGGCCATGTGCACTTTAACATTACTGTTAGCAATAACATGACCTGGCACGATGAATCCAAACAATGGCATTATTACCTGTAACCATTACCATTAACTCAGAGAACTGTAAACCAAGTTTCATATGAGCAAATGACAAGAATGCGCCAAATTGAACAACATATCAAGGAGAGTCAAATATGAAGAGAAATACTCTGGGTGTGAAGATGGATTTTGCAACTGCGGGGAGGCTAAGCGAGAAAGACTTAAAAGGTTAGATACGTGGTCGATTCCTGACTCAGAAAAAGGCGGGGAGAAAGTAGAAGCAAAGTGAAGGATTGTCACGGGTTAGCTCCAGCCACTTCTACTTGACTATACGTGGTCAACATAGTCATGCTGGTCGAAGACAGAAAAGTCTACATTTCAATTAGAAAGCAAGCACAGGTAATAATTAAATGCACCAAAAGCCCAGCAAGCATACTACACATGCACTGCATCCACCCCATGCTTAACCAGCCAAACTGAAGGCCACGGCCATGGGAGGTTAGCTGGGAGAGTGATGAAACAAGCAAAAGAAGAAGCTGTGGAGGCAACCGCACCTACTGCATGTGAGGGAGTTAACACCTGATAGCAGTACACTGAATGTTTTGTGAAAGATAGAGATAAGTAATGTCATCTGTATGGCTCACAGATCCACAGAGAGGAAAGAGAGAGGTAAAGATTTGGGGAGTTGTAGTGTAGTGTGTACCCTCAGATGCTTCAACTGGGGCCTCGGCCTGCAGCTCCTCTCCTGCAGCTTCAGCTATGACTGCAGCTGTGTCCACCAGCTCCTCTGTGCCCTGCACAGGCTCAGTGTCTTCAACTGCAGCTTCTGCAGGGGAGGCTTCAGCTAAAACTGGAGCTGGGTCCACCAGCTCCTCAGGGGCAGAAGCTTCTGCTCCAGCCTCAGCTTGAGCTATGGCAGGGGCCGGGTCCACCAGGTCCACCAGGTCCACCAGGTCCTTGGTGCTCTTCACAAGGGCAGAAACTTCAGCTACAGCCTCAGCAGCCACTTTGGTGGGGGCAACTTCAGTTTCGACAGACTCTGCAGCAGCGTCTGCGGGATCTTCAGCAGGTGGGGGCTCTGTGGCATATACAGGAACATCTGTTTGGGCTTTTTCTGAAGTTGAAGCTTCAATCACAACTTCGGCTGAAGTTTGTACCTGGTCATCTTTTATTAATTCTGGAGCGGGTTCCACTTCAGCTGAAACTTCTGGGCTGGTCACAGTGTCCCCGGTGGCAGTGCAGATCTCAGGAGCTGGGTCTACCAACTCCTCAGAGCTAACACTGGGAGCCTCGATGGTGGCTGGAGCTTGAGCAGCTTCTGCTGCCGCTGCTGAACAGGCAGGAGTAGCTTCAGGTTCTGGGGGAACTTCCTTCTTCACTTCATTTGTGCCATCCTTTACATCTGATGCAACCTCCTGGACTTCTGCTATTTGTTGCACACTGGAATATGACACTTCTGGTAGGGAGGTCTTGGTTTCAGCCTTTTCTAAATTCTTGTCCTCAGAGTCAGAGTCAGAGTCCGAGTCTGAGTCGCTGGATGATGAGGAGGATGATCCATCAGCTGCAGGATCAACCGGCTCAGAGAAGGCTGTGGCAACTGCATCGTCTGTAGTGGAGGCTGCGTCTGCATCGCCTGTAGTGGAGGCTGCGACTGCATCGCCTGTAGTGGAGGCTGCGTCTGCATCGCCTGTAGTGGAGGCTGCGACTGCATCGCCTGTAGTGGAGGCTGCGACAGCGACTGCATCGCCTGTAGTGGAGGCTGCGACAGCGACTGCATCGCCTGTAGTGGAGGCTGCGTCTGCATTGTCTGTAGTGGCGACTGCGACTGCATCGCCTGTAGTGGAGGCGGCGACTGCATCGCCTGTAGTGGAGGCTGCGTCTGCATCGCCTGTAGTGGCGACTGCGACTGCATCGCCTGTAGTGGAGGCTGCGACTGCATCGCCTGTAGTGGAGGCTGCGTCTGCATCGCCTGTAGTGGCGACTGCGACTGCATCGCCTGTAGTGGAGGCTGCGATTGCATCATTTGTAGGAGAGGCTGCAACTGCATCTGCAGCTTCTGCGGTGGGGGCTGCGACTACATCGCTTGTGGTGGAAGCTGTGACTGCATAATTTGTGGTGGGGGCTGTGACTGCATAATTTGTGGTGGGGGCTGTGACTGCATAATTTGTGGTGGAGGCTGCGACTGGAGGGTCTTCTGGTGCTGAGGTTTCACTTGCATCAACCAGGTGCTCAGCAGCGGGGGGGGCTGCGTCAACTACAGGTGTAGTTGCTGTGTTGATGATAACCTGAGCAGCAGCTACAGCTGTTTCTGCAGCTGCACTGGGGCTCGCCACGGATTCAGTTGCACCTACACCCTGTGTTAGGAAAACTCCAGGCTCTGAAAGTCTAACTGGAAAGGTCACAGCTGTCTTGTAGGCTAGCAAGGTTGCTCTCTCATCTTGAACCTCTGCTGCTGAGGAAATTGTAAATAGGATAGGAGTGGTTGAATAAGAAAACATTTGCAGTAAATTGGTATGACTTCCACAGTGAATCTAAGTTCACTTGATCCTATACCCATGTATGCTTTCCTAGAAATGTCCAAATAAAAGAAAGAATTACAACACAATATTAACATATCAAAATACAATAACTTAAGATGGTGTGTACTGTACACTACTTATACGCAAAATTAGACACAATCAGCATCACAAGCTATTAAGAATGACATTTTAACAGTGAATTACTCCGAATTGAATGGATACAGGTACATTTCCTGCACTGTCAAAAAAAAACAAGTTACACGTTAAGGTTTAAAATCAGAATAACTTTATCATAAATTATATAGATGTGTACGTATACGTAATATAAAAGAAAAAAGATCATTAGTACACAATAACAATGAGCCAGGAAAACTTTAAACCTTGAATTTTAAACTTTCTAAAATGATCAGATGTATAGGGCCTTACTCTTGCCTGCAGCCTCTCCCCTCTCAGCTGACTGTGGGGGCCTCTCTGCTGACTGTGGGGGCCCTTCAGCCCGGGAGCAGAACAGAGCAGCCGGGCGGCTCCTCAGGATGCGCCAGCTCTCCTGGTGGAGACACTGCGGAAGAGCAAACACACAGACAGTTGCATTTAACATCGAAATAACAGCAAAAACCCTTTATCAAATGTTTTTCTTCCAAAAAAAGCTAAGGTAAAGGTAACATCATTGTATGTTGGGTATGTTTTGTATTTGCAATTTTAGCCAACAACAGATAATTATTTTAAACATGATAAAAGTATAGCACATCGTACAGGTCACAAGAGAGGATTAGCAGCCGCTGCTAGCCTAGATGGCGCTCATGATATTAAACACTTAACAGAATGTCGAATACCATGAAATGTCATAAACAAGAAAATATATACATGCGTAATGTAGCATTTGGTGTTTTGACATGCAATTATTTATGTCATGCGGTTTTAAGTTATGTAGCCATATCACTATGTGTACACAGAAAAGTAGCCAACTCCATTCTCGATGGGAAAAAAGGTCGTGTGTTAAAGCTCCGTGATGGCCTCTTCCATCCGGTAGTTTCGAGTTTTCGCTTTAATAACAGGTTTTATTTTTGAAGCGGTCATAATATAGCCTAGTTATGGTAAACGTGACTCTGGTAGCTCGGGTGTGTGGTTAAGGTTAGAGAAAAGGCTTTGCCCTTTTCCCGCTGCGGCTACAAGACGCCGTGGGGTCAGTGCTAAGGAGACCCGAGTCGAGTCGTGTATGCGGGTCCACTGCGACGGAGTATCTGTGACTGAACCCTGCTCAAAGTGCTATTCAAACAGACTACATGCAGACAGCTGGGAGAACATTAAACCATTATTACCTTCAGGGAACCCAGTCGCCCTAACCGCAGCAAGGAGGTCGCCATTTTGTGTTCACAGTGTTATGCTCCGGCCGGAAAATGTTAGTAACCCCAACAGTTCCGCTTCCACAATAATAACGGTGATTGTCCGGACGGCATCCCAAGTAGGACACTTGACACAGTGGCTTTTGGCAAAGCTCAAAAAGAAAACTCGAGAGAGATAGGCTTGTTTGAGACGCGTTGCGGCTCGCCTCGAAAGTAGACGAGAATAGCCGATCGCAGCTGGGGGAGGTCTCAAAAAGCTCGCCTGAAGTCGGACAGCTCGGAGTCGGCTTCGTCTTCTTCTTCTTCTCTCGGTTTTTTGGCGGATTGCAAACAGCTTTAAGGTGCATACCGCCACCTCCGGTATCGGCTTGACTCGGTTTGCATTTCTAAAGAATGCACACGTGTTTAATCGTTAATGTCAGATATGTACTAAGTAAATACATTTGTTCCTGCTTAAGATTAGATTAAACTTTATTGTTATTGCACATATTACAGGTACTGAGACAACGAAATGCACTTTAGCTTCTAACCAGGTGCAACAAGCAGTAAAGTGAAAAGTAATGTACACAATCTACAGAATAAAATATAGAATGAATTGAATGATGAATAAACAGTGAGGGGTATGAATACACTAGATATCAGCCTGTGAGCAGTATGAACAGTGTGTATTAATACACTAGATATATAAAGTATGAAACGGTAAGCAGTGCAAGTATAGTATAACATATATAGATATTAATTCCATGATGATAAACATTGTGGAACAATGATGAAAAATGTGAATGGAAGTGGCGACGTAAAACTGACACAAAACAACAACAAACTTTTGCCGAGCCAATGGGAGAGTTTCATCAGCAGCACGTGGTAAAAACCACCAATGAGCGCTCAGCTCGAGATACCAGCGAGTCGTTTCCAAGCCCCCAGGAAGTGCGCCGGAGTCTGATGAGAATATTCGTAGTGGCCAAACGGCGGTACTACATTTCCGTTTGGTTGCTGGGCCCGGAAATGCTTTTTCCCATTGACTTACATGGGGAAAGAGTGGTCTGTAACTCATTGGATAATTTTTTTTTAACTAAATAAACAACCCAGTATGAAGACTTGTATAGCCCTTATTAAAAACATTCGTTCCTCAAGTTGTAAAAATGTGCTAATAACGTTATTCTGAGAGTTATTTCCCTCGGCATTATGAACGCGCATCTAAAAAAAATTTTTTTATCATTACACCTGGGTAAAACAGAGTCCATTCTCTTCGGTTCGAAACATACTCTCAGCAAATCCGACGACTTCTCAGTTGCAGTGGGTGACATTATTGTCACAAGTAAGAAGGAAATTACATACCTAGGATCTATTCTTGAGGCAAACCTCTCCTGTGACAAAATGGCATCCAATGTAATAAAAAAAGTCAATCAAAGAACTAGATTCCTATACCGGATCTCCTCTCTGGTAAACAAAAACACCCTGAAAACTCTGGCAGGAGCACTCATTCAAGAGTACTATGACTATGCTTGCACGTCATGGTACCATAGCACCTCCAAGGCGCTAAAAATAAAACTTCAAACATCGCAAAATAAACTGGTCAGACTACTGCTTGACCTTTCATCTAGAACCCACCTCACCTCTGCCCACTTTGACAACCTAGGATGGCTTAGAGTAGACGACAGAGTACAGCTACTTGCAATGGGCCTGGTCTACAAGATCCACTACACCTCTATGGTACCCATGTACATGTCAACATTCTTCCCAAAGGTCAAGGAATACCATGATCATAACACCAGAGGGAGCTCCACAAATCATGTGAAACCCAGATTTGGCACAAAAAAGGGGGAATACACGTTTCGCAATTATGCCACATCAAGGTGGAACGCTCTTCCCACAACTGTAAAGGAAAGTAAAACTATACTTACCTTCAAAACCTCTCTTAAAGAGCACCTTCGGGGGAGAGCATTGCAAAACTGGCCCCGGTAATGGTACAAATCTCAACCTGTCGTTCAATGGACAGCTTCCCCCCCCCCCCCCCCCATCTATGTATATACTCGCATTTTAGACTCTGTTACTAACTGTATATCTGTAGACTTGGTATGTCTTAAATGTCCGGTTAGGATGTATTAGAACGAAATCTAAAATGAAAATTGTAAATAAGCAATCTGTATGTAAAAAACCACCTGTATGTAAATTGTAAATAAGCCATCTGTATGTCAAATATGTCTTATATGTCTTAAATGACATGATGAATTGGGAAATGGGGGACCCTGATGTAAACAAGACGAAAGTCTTTCTCTGGTCTGCATCCCCTTAACAATTGTATGTTTTGAGCTGTACTGTACTGTACCCAATATACAAGCTGTTAATAAACTTTTCAATCAATCAATCAATCAACCCACGGGACCGCGCTGCCCGGCACGTTCATGTGATGTGACGTGTTCAGCACCTCCCCCTTCACACGCGGTCACGTTCAGTGTTCACTGTCACGTCACTGAGGCTAAAGAGACAACGCTTTATATATACAGTCTATGCTAACAACCGACAAGAGTTTGCTCCAAAAGGTAAGATACGAAAACATATGTATTTTCTAACCTGCCTCCTTAATGTCTGTATGTAATGTAACATGTTCTCATATAAAAGAGTAAAATAAGCCAAACCGCTCATCAGCAACCGCTACTGTGGCTAAGCTAATGTTGGGTGTTTGCACAGTAATTTTCCATACTTTTCATAGTTAACCAAAATGCTAGAAATGTATGCATGCCAGCAGTTCTGCAATGTTAACTCTGTATGCATTAGCTAACTTTCTAGAAACCAGACTTTGCATTTATAATTCGTTTTATATATATATATATATTTCTATTTAAAATCTATAAATGTGAGATGAAAAAACTAAAAATGACATGTCTTTTTCACAACTAATTTCCAATGCAATGTCCCTACCATTGTAAACGACGATGCATACAGAATCTTCAAGAACACATATTATTTTAAAGAGGCGTGAAGAGCTAATCATTTGCACTTTATTTATAGATGGCAGAAATAGCTGGATCAACATCCAGAGAGGAAATCCTGAAGGAAAGTGGGCCTCCCGCCATACTTGGACAAGGTGCTGTATAGTTTTTATAAGAATTTTTATTCATTTTGTTTCAGTAATTTTTTGATTGCATACCCTTTACTTTCATATGGCAAAAACAAATATATTGTTCCTTATTTTTACATCTGATAAGTGAAATCAGTTGATTGTGACCTTATCACAAAAAGTCAGTGACTTGATACATCCTGCTTCGTAATAATGCATGAAATCGTCATGCATTATTTAATGTAATATTAATATATAATCTTAATCCTTATAAAGTTTCATCATGATTCTATATACAAGTATAGAGTTATATGTAATATAATATACAAATTAAACTTGTGTAGTCTTAAAAATATGATGAAAATGATATGACAACTCAGGCTACATGTACCGCCTTTTTCTGAAAGATGATCACCAGTAACCACTTTTTCCTTTTTCAATATATTTTATTCTATCTAGGTCCCAATGTGTGGATAATAGGGAGCAGCTACGTTAGACGTGGGGAAGAAAGAGCCAGACACACCATGGGAAGCAACCTGGGTCTCAATTGCCGTGTGTGGTGGTTTGGCAAGGGTGGTCTGAGGTGGAGGAACCTTCTTCCCTTTTTCTATTAGTCCTTGAGAGAAAGAACAGTCCCGAATGTCCTGCTCATCCACTGTGGCGGCAACAACCTTGGCAACATCAAAGGTGTGGAGCTTGTCACAGCGATGAAGCAGGACCTGCTTTCCCTCAGTGACAACTTCTCAGAGATGAAGAAAATTCTATCTTCTATCAATGAGAGATGTCACTGGAGGAAAGCCAATCCGGGAAAGCTGAACAAGGCCAGAATGTGGGTGAACAGAGAGATGGGTACATGTGTTAGTGGTTTGGGTAGAGTGTAAGGCATCCTTGCATTAAGTTTGACTGTCCTGGCATATTTCTAAGAGATGGAGTTCATTTCACCAATTTGGGAAATGATATGTTTTTAAGTAACCTTAAACAGTCCCTTGAGGCTACAATCTAAAGTGGTTCTGCATTTTGGATTCTAGCCTCAACAGGATATGTATATTTAACAAGAATAACTTTTAAATTTGACAGGGCAGTCCTCCTTGTAAGGATGTCTTCACTTACTCACACTATTTTTTTTAAATGTGTTATTTAATTAAATTGTTCACTCACATTCTGTGTTCTTCCTCTCTCTTAAACTTTAGTCCCCTTGTCTTTTTCTCTCTTTCCTTCACTCATCTTAGTCCCCTTGTCTTTTTCTCTCTTTCCCCTCACTCATCTTAGTCCCCTTGTCTTTTTCTCTCTTTCCCTCACTCATCTTAGTCCCCTTGTCTTTTTCTCTCTTTCCCTCACTCATCTTAGTCCCCTTGTCTTTTTCTCTCTTTCCTTCACTCATCTTAGTCCCCTTGTCTTTTTCTCTCTTTCCTTCGCTCATCTTAGTCCCCTTGTCTTTTTCTCTCTTTCCCTCACTCATCTTAGTCCCCTTGTCTTTTTCTCTCTTTCCCTCACTCATCTTAGTCCCCTTGTCTTTTTCTCTCTTTCCCTCACTCATCTTAGTCCCCTTGTCTTTTTCTCTCTTTCCCTCACTCATCTTAGTCCCCCTGTTTTGTTTCTCTCTTTCCCTCACTCATCTTCCCCAGCCTCACCCAGACGACGACACGGCGTACAGAGAGGAGGTCGAAAACCTGACATCTTGGTGCCAGGATAACAACCTCCATCTCAACGTCAGCAAAACCAAGGAGCTGATTGTGGATTGCAGGAAGCAGCAAAGAGAGGGACACGCCCCCCATCGCCATCAATGGGACTACGGTAGAGAGAGTCAGCAGCTTCAGGTTCCTCAGTGTCCATCACGGACACAGCTGCATCACGGCCTGTTACGGCAGCTGCACCGCCCTCAATCGTAAGGCTTTCCAAAGGGTGGTGAAAACTGCACAGAACATCACCAGGGCGGAGCTGCCATCCATGGAGGACCTTTACTCCCAGCGGCTTGGAAGAAAGCCCTCAGTTTATGTTTATGTATATTTTAGAAATGTTTTGGCACATTTGTTCCTATTCTGCTAATGGTATATTGCAGGATATTTAAGTCTCCCATGTACTTTTTAAATTAATAATAGTATGTTCATCTTGATGTTTAACTTGTAATATTGTAATCATCTTAGTTAGAAATGCTGTTTCCACCCCATCCTCTGCTGCTGAATGAT